TTTTGATAACATCGTTTTGTCAGTATCGTTTGAACGACTATCGTTTCAAAGTTACGTGATTCATGCCCAGCTTCTCATAAAAACATAATCGTCATTCGAGTCGACGTAAAAGTGTAGGGACTCCCTTTGCGCACGCGACAAATCGGAGGAGAAGCTCGGCCAAATACTAATACATATATTGTGTAAGCGCCAATCTATTATTACTATTACACGTAGAGATTGAGGTATTGACTTGAAGCACCGAGGCCGCGGGTTCAAATCCCGCCACATCCAATCTCAAATATAGTACAATTATATCGGGAAGAATTGTTAATCACGTTTTCTTTGTAATGTGAGTTTATGACATTCGGTACAATACTAGGGTTCTGGTAGTCGATTCCAAAAAATACTGTCGGGTAGAAAATATCGGTATCGAATGCCAAAAGTATCGATATAGTAACGTATCGTATCGAAATTCTTGTCCCTACTTGGAAGGTGATTATATCAGTATGTAAATACTTAAACAATTTTAATTAAAAATAACCGGAATCAAAGATCCTTATAAACACGGGTCATAAATAAAGATTTACCTTTCGGAGCTTTACTTCTAAGACGGGATGCTGAAAAACTTCCTAGATATCTTCAAAAAGTAAATATTAGAAGTGTTTTATGACTAATTTTTTCAAATCAATTTTAAATGTTCATTGAGTCCTGCTTCGAATGGTTATTTGAACGTTTCGGACCTTTTTGATGATTTATTAAAACCTTTTTCGGTAACAAAAAGGAAATTAAGCGCAAATCTAATCTCCTCAATACTCTGGTAGACTTTGATTTTTAGGTTATCCCAGCGAATCAGTTAATATCATGCTATTGATGATGATTGAGGGCCTAACGGCTTTCAGAACGTACAAAGCTATCAAATATGTTAGATAAGCTGATGAGCTTTAAATCTATTTTCAAGGCTGATTGTTTTAGGTTCCGTTTGCGTGATTCCGGCCCATTCCCGTTGGCATAGTCTTTTTTATCGTCGCTTCGTTCCTAAATTTTCATTGTAAGTTTAGTTCATAAGGACACGAGGTAAATGTCGATAGCTCCATTAGTGACGTCAAATTTTCGTTTTTATTATCTGTAACTTTCGATATTTACAGATCCCCAGATCGGGATTTTCTGTAGTCTGAATACCCCTAATTTAGCTATATAATTAAATTTTAACAGACTTAAAAGTTTTTATTAAATCATAATGCATTTATATTGCAATTGGGGATGGGAATTCTTTGTCCTTGGGCTGCATTTACTTTTCTGTTTTATATAATAAAGTTTACTTAAGAATGCTAGTGTGTGTGTGTGTGTGAGTTTAATTAATAATGAGTTAATTTATGTTTCACAAATGTTACATTTACAAGGCAAGCTTACCATACACCCTCTTACACTTTAATTAGCCCAAAATAGTTTAGTCTACAGCAAATTTTAATGCACACCAACATGAAATTTCACCATGTAGTATGATGCATGTATGTGAATACTTATTTTTTATTAACTCATTTTATTAAATTTTTGTTAGCTACTTAAATATGCATGATTATATTATTTTTCAATCTATTTAGCTAAAAATTTTATATGTATTTGTTTTATTTTTATATTTTTTGTTTCAGTTTTATACTAAACTAATTACTTTTTGAATTCAAATTTCAATCATTTTCGCTTGGTTTATTTATATATATCTTTTCACTTATTAAATAGTATAATGTACTTGAACAAACTGTAATTAAAATTTCACTAAAATACCATACAATAATGGTAGTAGTGGTAGTAAATAGTTAGAAGAATTCAAAATCGTAGTCGTTAACGTAATCAATAACAATGTTGAACAGTATCGGAATGTGATCTGAGAATTATGGTCAACACACATCAATGCAGATATGTACATATCTAGATCTGCGCTTTGTCTACATAATGTCTGTATGTAGTGTAGTTGTTGAAGGTTGCTAGGTTTAATGCCTAACCTATAAATATATAAGGTATATACGGCATAGTATCGTTCATTATTGATCGTTTGGTATGGTTGTAGGGCGATAATAAAGAGGTCTTTTTTGTTTTTGCTCTTTTTTAATATTTATGTATGTATGTATGTCATAACTATCATTGGTATTTTTGGTTATTTTTTGTTTTGGTTGTTATTTTATGTAGTTGATAAACTTTTCATTGCATGATGTGTGACACTAAAAATATATATAGTATTTAGTACGTAGTAATGTATGCTGTTTGGCGTTTTGGTAAACTACATACAAATGTTTTGTTAGGCGTTATTTCAAGTATGCTTATGTTCTGTTACTACTAGCAAATTAGTTAGACACTAACAACTACCGTTTTACGATACATTTTTAAATTATGTTTCACTCAACAAATATACAGGCAGGGCGAGTTTTTACAATGAGTGTGCATTATACTGTATGCATGTAAATATGTATGTAGGTGTGTGTGTGTAGGTAAATCATTATGTCTTTTGTTTATAAGATATCTATGTATATCTTTGAATATGATTGTTTGATTCAATTCAAAAATTAGAGCTGAGTTATCAAGGAAGCAAATAGCGAGAATAGATATTTAGGTTCCAAAGCGCACAGTGAACTGCGGTGAGTACTCAGTCAGTCTAACAAAATACAATAAGGAGATTAAAAAGGCACTTTCCGGATGCCATTCCCACCCCGATTGATACGGTGTTCCGTGCGTTCAGACAACTCTTCAGCGGACTGCAAGCTGACTAAAAGCCTGATATACCATCTCACAGTACGATGGATGCTGGATTATTTCGAACGGTACAAGGTAGCAAGATGGCATCTGTCCGGTGTTGTTGAAGCAGGACGGAGGGCTCCTACTTCAACTCGTTTCAATACCTATTATGAGAGGCAGTCTAGCACTCGCCCACATTCGCGTGGTGTGGCAGAGAGCCTGGATTATCTGCGAAATCGTCCAAGGAGAACTTAACCTTACAAAAAGGTGGTGTGCGGATCCCTTTACTTATAAACGAACTCTCCAGGAGAAAAAATCTTGAACTTGCCAACGATCGGACTATTATGAGAGGCCAGCAAGCTCTTCCTTAAAGTGCTAAGGCATATTAAACCTCGTTAGGCTTTCTGGTGTTCAAGGAAAATTATCTGAATGAGCCTTTAAAAGCACAGCTCTGTATACTTCAACGCAAATTGAGACGCATCAAAATCGTTTGGATACTTCGACTCAGCTGATTGAGGAGCTAGGAAGGTGTTTTAGTATTAACGTTCTTAAACAAAATTTCTCGTCTGGGTCACTGTTTGAGACTTTTGCTTTTTTTTTTTAAGAAAATACCTAAAATATTTATCTATGGCTGGTTTTTCAGAAATGTTGAACTTTATGTCAACTTCGATTTCTTTTAATTTATCTCAATGCATGTGTATGTATATATGTATGAAAATGGCAATGATGTAGATGAGTTAATACAGCAGGATGAGTCAATACCTCAGCGCAACTTTTCGTGTGCCTATTTTTTTTAAAGCAAATCTTAGCCAATTTTTGACTAAAATTGTCTATGGATTTCGGCAGTTAAGTTTTTTATACATATGTATACAAGTATTTTAATTTATATATTTTATCAATGCATATATGACTATACATAATGCACATCAAATGATGAAAATGAATATCGAAATATTTAGGTATGTATGTATGATTATGGTTGCCTTAATTTTTCCTATATGAAAAATGCGATATGAAAAATTATAAAAGTTTAGCATAACTAATACAACATACATACAGCTTTCATGCTTACGATAATATGGTGTATGTATTATCCTTTGGATATGGACTTGGGGTACCTTTGCCTTATCACGAATATCGGACTCGCGTAAGAATGAAAAAGTGGGAAGCTAGTGTAGTTTCCATTATTCCATGCCGAATTCTGAAAGCGACCTAACAGCTCTATTCCGATTTATGATCACCTAACAGTTTTAGATGCAGATCGAAATAAAAAAAAATGTTTAAAAATATGTTATGTTTTACTTAAAAATTAACCGTATTAACATATTAAAAAAGCATACGTACATATTTTTTTTTTTTTGAAAAAATGGAGATTTTAAAATTTTTTTAATAACTATTTTTAGAAAAAATTTTAGTATGGAGTACTGTAGCCCTTAGAATTTTTGTATAACTGATTTTTGTAAATTTCTTTTGCTAAATTTCTTCATATAACGTATGCAAAATTTGAAAGATGTGAAAAAGAATCGCCTAGCATATTTAAACATGCACTTTACTATCCAATGGGCTACAAAACAGCATAATATTTTTTTTTTTAAAGGGATAAATAAGGATTGCAAAATTTTCATGAAATTTTTTGGAGTTTTGAGTTAACTTCAAGAGACTTCCTTTAAAATTTTTTAGTTTTTCTAACATCGAATCAGAAGGACTAGATTAATCGATCTTCGATTGAATCGATTGAAATATGGCATCCCTTCAATAGCCTTGTGATTGGTTTTGGCATTGACATGGGAATAGAGCTGTTGGTGACCAAATTTATTGGCGCAATGCTAAAGGGAATTTGTTAAAGCCCTTTGTTTTTCATGAAAATTGTTTCATTTAATACACACTGGAAATCCGGCATTAGAATGAAGAAAACATGCAGCCTACTATACTCATATTCAAAAGCACATCGAATGCATTTAAGCTGTAGATAGTTTTTTTGATAGTTTTTAATAGTTCTTTTGAAAAAAATATTGCTTTTTTACTCACTTTCAGATGCGATTTGATACTTCTTAAGAATATTATAGATGTTTAGCTGGTTTGTTAAATGAAAATTGTAACAAATAAATAACCACTGATATGAAAACTAATTAATTAATTAAAAACTAATATAAGATTCAAATGGAAAACTACGATTTTTTTTTTAATTTTTTCTTTGAATTTTATTTTAAAGAAACCAATTCAAACTAAAAGTAATTATACATACATTATTACTTATGTATGTATGTATGTACGTAAGTATGTGACTAAAAAGTACCATGAAAAAATAAACACTTGTATGCTTAAACTGAGTAACAAAAGTAGCAAATATACAAAATTACAAAATACAAATTCGTACACATTTTAACTTTAGCTAGCACATACAAGTCAATAATTATCATTCATTGCTATTTTACAGTGATAACGCTTAGCACAGAAGGCATTGCATACTTATAGGCGTTCTGTGCTGTAAAAGTAAACGTAGACAGATGGATAATAAGGGCAATTAAATACATACAAACTACTAAGGTGTAAACTTAAAATAGAAAAAAAATAAAAAATAAAAAAGGAATAAGAGCAAAGTATAGCATAAGGATAATACCAATTTTTATACATACAAACAAACTTAATGCGTATCGTTAATTATGTAGTATATGGTATGCATATGCATGATTTGTTGTAAATGACGTTCGCATTAACTAGGCGCCAATGCGCAAACACAACGATTAATGCAATTCTTCTTTGGTCACAAGTTATTTACATACATGTGAATTTCGTTTCGCTGTGTAATGATTTTTTATTTTTATTTTTTGGATTCAAATTTGGTTCTCTTCTCAATTACAAGATCATCCGTGGGTGAATGGGGGTTTGCATTCAAAGTTGTTGAACGGTGCGGTGCGCGCATTGTCGAATGAATGGCCGATCGGCAGTTGCGAAATTTGATAGTTTTGTTATTATTTTTATTTTTATTTTTATTTTTATTTATTTTTCTGCTTATTATCAATGCGTATGCTTAATGATGTGTCGGGCGATTGGTGATCTCTATGTTACATTACATATGCATTTATGTATGTATGTACATATGTACATATGTGGCAGGCAAATATGGTGATCGGATGTGTGATGGTCATTTTGCTGGCTATGAATTTTTGATTTGGATGTGAATGTATGTTCACTTGCTGAATGTTTTGCATTCGTTTTTTGTTTTCATTTGAAATGAGTTGTTTTTTCTGCTTTTGTGTTTTTTTTTTGCTTTTGTAATTTAGTTTATACACATAATTAATTATTTAAGAAAATAAATTGCGCTATTGCTATCATGAGGGTATTTGTGAAGAGAATGCACAAGTTAGTGTCTAACGGATAGCTACCTCCGTTGACGACGACATCCCGCTCCTCCAGCATGGGATAGTCGATGACGTGTATTATGCCGTTGGTACACTCAACATCCGGCCGGTAGACATTGATCTTCTTGAAGTTCCAAGTGATCACATAACCTGAAAGTGAGAGAATTTTTCGTTTTTTTGTTTTGTAATAAAAAATTTACACTTCGGAAAGTTGCAAAATGAAATGATTTATTAGCAGGCACCGAGAACGCGCTGAAATAAAATGTAATGTCAAGAACGTTCCTACAAAAGAACCAAACGGCAACAAAAAGTATTGAGAGCCTTTTAAATGAGAACCAAAGTTTCGGGAACGTTCCCGTAAAGAACAAAATGAGAAAAACCCAACTCTCGTGAACGTTCTCAAGAAGAACAGAATGATAACGAAATTATCGAGAACCTTTTAAGGGAGGACCAAAAAAGAACAAAAGTCTGGGGAACGTTCTGCTAGAGAACAAACCGAAAACAAAAGTTTTGAGAAGTTAACGTTATGAATGCGACTGGCGTCTGCGTGTTGGGATGAATGATCGTTTCAGTGAGAACCACGATTGTTAATTCTAAGCCAGAAGAAATCTGGATCATTTCTACTTCCAAATTGTTTATTATAAGGGTTAACTGTCCATTTAAAGAACAATTTTTAATTTTATGTGCAACAAAAAAAAAAAAACAATAAAAATAAAAAAGTTTGCGTCTTAAGTCTTTCGTTGACTTTATTCGCATAATTATCTTTCAGTGCTTTTTGATTAATTTTAATATTCAAATATTTCAAACTATTGACCCCTATGTGAAAAATTTTGTTCTCGCTTCGACTTATCGAGAAAGTTCTTTATACTTTTGGTCGCGTTCAATTCTCTCCCAAAACGTTCCGCAGACTTTTGTTCCCATTTTACTCTCTTCTTTTACCGAAAGTATTGTTCGCATTTTTTTTTTTTTACATAATTCTCATTGAGGTTGCTCTCGACCATTTTGTACACAGTTTTGTTTTGGTTTTGAAGCGTTCTTATGAACAAACTACGAGAACGACATTTAGTTTCGATCATGACTTTTGTTCTCGGTCCCTGTTTATTAGAGACTTGAAAAGCGTATGTATGCCACATTTTTTTTTCTATAAAGTGCTACCTTATCCCTTTAAAAGAATGAGGGTAAAATGTGATGAAGTGATCGAAAAGAGATGAACCGATATATTTTCTAAAAATAAAAAAAATCTATACCACAGAAAAAAAAATTATTTTAACTAAAATAAAGATAGAGGCAGAAAAATTTGGTAAGATAAAAATTGCATTTTATTGTCACATGTACATTAGACCGTACCAGCTTAGAAGCAATCAAAAAAAAAAAAACAAATCGCGGTGCATGCCTAAATCTAAAGTACTTTTGCAAGGCAATTTCAATTCAATTCAATTTTAATTCAATATGTTTCAATTTGAAGCATTAGTACAATAAGATCTACGAAAAAAAAATTGTTTGCCGAACGTAGGGGTCACTTTATTAAATTTTTTGGGACACCTACATACGTTCGCCAATAACAAAAATTTATAAGATAGTTTTACTGGAATATTTAACATTTTTTTTAGCTAAAGCTTAATGATTATTGGTGAGCCTTAATTTACTGACAATAGGGTGTTACATTAAGGTGATAAGAACTGAGATTTGTTGGGTAAGTACTAGAACCGGGTATTGAGGACAATGAACTTTGCAGCGAAAAAAAAATGCTCATTGAAGCAAGAACATCTCAAGATTCGATTGTAAACGCTGAAGGTGTTACGACAAATTGAAAAAAAAGCGACCCATATGTTCGGTAAAGAAAAAAAAGCAAATTTTCCTCCAAGTCGAACACTTACTTAGCAAAAGTTTAATAATGTTTGGCGAGCTTTTATTTACTAACATTAGGGTGGTACGTTAGGGTGGTAGGAGCTCGGGTTAAATCTGGTGGGTAGGCATTAGAACAGGGAATTAGGGTCAACGAACTTTAGAACAAAAAAGTTGGCTCCTCGAGACAAGAATATCGATATATATATACGAAAAATGTAAAAGCAGACCGCTACCTTCGGCTAAAGAAATTTGGAAATCGCCTTGCAAAAGTACTTTGGATCCACGGGTGTATGGCGAACTTTTCTTTCCAGTACGATCTAATGTGCATATAAAAAATACACTGCTCGTCATTTGAATAGCGCACCCTTTTGATTCCTAGTATTTATAATTTTCCTTTTGTTTATTAGATAAATATTTATTATTTTTGTATAAAAAAATAAAATAAATGTCAGCAAAGCGGTGCGCTATCCTAATCACCTGCAGAGAATTAGTTAATAATAGTTTTAGAAAAAATTCGCTGAACAAAAGGCGAGACGTATCCTCAGCCAGTGTCCTGCCCTTAGCTTACTACGGACTAGTCACCTGGGAACAGGCTCACTGTCCTCTCCTGGTGTTCAGAGATTAGCTATATAATAATGTTGTCGTAATTTTCTGGAAATTCTATGGAACTTAAAGGTCTCTAAACTTTCTCTTTACAAATTGAGTTTCCTCCGTGTTAAAAACGAAAATAAATATTATAAATGCACTAAATGTATGCATAAAGATGCGCAAATGATGAACATACGAGTATTAATACAAAACCTTTAATAACTATATTTTAAGTACTATATCTAGATGAGTGATTTTCTAATGGAAATTTTCATTGGTGCCATCACTCACCAGTCCACTCATGTGAAGCATATTCATCGTGAAGATCTTCACGTAAGCAAATAAAGCAATATTGTTTTTTTTTTTTAACGAAATGAAGAGAATTGGATTAACACATATTAGTACGAAATAAATTTGCAGCAATCCGAACTATATAATCTTTAAAAAAAAATATTAGTCTACTGACATGCACTCTGTTAAAAATTTGTTTTTAATTTTTTATTTCTATATTCGCCAAATACTTACGTCCAGATTCTTCCTCTACTTTCACCCTTAACGAATCTCTGTAGGTGGGCAGTAAAATTGAGTCGCCCGACTCAGCTGTCATGGCTACCAAGTCCTTCATTGTGTACACATTATCGGCAATCACCAAGTGACGTTCCAGAATTGACTTGGACTAAAAAAGTGATTGATTGAAATATGTATGTGAATGTGCCGCTTAGAAAAAATGGTCTTACGTGATAGGAAAAGTCTTCCATGAAGAGTTTTTTGTGTGTCGAGGGATAGTCCAGTTTAGTTTTTTGCCAACCCTTGTCACGCGGCACGAAATATGTGAAACGACGTTGAGTATTGTTCAGCTGATTGTTGAATGAAGAGAATTGACCGAGCTTGAAGGTATCGCTGGAAAAGAAATATAATTTATTTTTATTTAGTAACTAAAAATGATGTGTGTCTTCATATTAATTTTACCTCATCATAGGATCTGTTTCGAGTTTGCCCAGCACCGTGGTGTATGGGACGCCCAAAACCTTATCAATAATATGTACGTAACCGTTAGTTTGGGCCACATCCGCTTGTAGAATTGTAGCGTTTACGCCACCACCTTCAACGGTGATTACTTCTTCGCCATTTTCATCGTTGATATTAAAATACAAAAATGAGCGATTGTTAACGGTGGGCACTTGAGCAATCTGTAAGGAGAGACGACAATGTAAAACTGTTCCTTTCAATATGTTATGCAATTATACAGCACGAAGGCGGTCTCAAAAGTACACGACTTGACAAAGAAAAAAATGTTTATTCCTTTAGCTAGATACATTTTCACCAACGATTATCAATAGCTTCGATACCCTTGTTTATAGCAGGAACCGCCAAGCTCTTTAAAATTTTCCTTCGCCGCAGACTCTACCTCTTTATTGTTGGCAATTCTTTTACCACCCAGCCATTTTTTTACTGAGAGTGAAGTAGTACTGTTCAAAGATAACTTATGTCGAGTACTTTTGGCACTACCCTCGTATGTATTATTTTAAAATATTTTTCTTACAATATTCGCATTTTTCTGACGAATGCGCTCCACATTCAATTTGTCCTTGATAATATGCATATTCAGGATAGCACGGAGTTTCTCACGATTTCTAAAAAGAAAGGAAGGCACTTAGCTTAGCTACATTATTCAACAAAAATATACTGCACGACAAATACTGAAAAATAGAAAGGAAGATTGATAAGAAATAAACAAATTACATTCTAGTTCGTTTCATACTAAAAGGATTTGCAAATATTTATTTATCTTGATCCAAGTCTTAGTTTTATCCTTAGGTTTTGACTTAGATTTCGGATAACAGAATAATTCTGGCAACTGGCTTTCAATTACCCACAGTCTTTCGGATACTTTAATAAGACAATTGTTAATTCTGTTTTTCGAAAGACTTATTTAAAGATCTGCTATCGCAGAGGTCTTAACGACAAGCTGTTCGACTATTGGAATAAGTTTTTTTTAATTAAATTAAATTAAAAAATGCACACATATTTTTTAAAACAAGAAAAACTAAAAAATAAACGAATATTAGATTAAAAAAAATAAAACGAAAACAAAGCACAAATAAATAAAAATATTTTTAAAACTTAAATGAAATAGAAAAGCTCTTCTTAATATAATACAATACAATATAATCTAAAAACCAAATTAGAAAAAAATGTATCAAAAGAGAAGAAATTAAGATCATAAAAATTCAATAGCGGTATTCTCTGAGTCGTGTAAAGCCATTGCACGGTGCACGGATTGTACGCTTTGCAAAGCTGTGCCATACGTGGAAGGACTTGCAGGACTCAGAGAATACCCCCAATGAAATAAAACATACAATTTTCTATTTTAAACAATAAAATCTAAATATTAAAAGAAAATTAAATTAACAAAAGAAAAACAAATTAAATAAATGAAGAAAAAACATTTAAATAAATCTTTAGAAATTAAATGAAATAAAAAAATATAAATTTTTCTTGTTTTCAAAAAATTAAATGAAAATCAAAAATTTATAATTTTCTTTTAAAAACAATAAAATATTAAAATTGAAAGAAATTTCAATTATAAAAATTAAAATTTTAAGTAAAAATTTCTAAAAGATTGCCACGTCTGCCTGCACATTAACAGGTCTATTTTGCACGTTACAGATAATTTCGTAACCGTAAAGTTTGATTACCAAAAAATGTTACCACTTCTTGTCACTGCGATTCTAGGTACGTTGGTAATGCAGTCAAAATATTCAGCAATTCAGCTATGAAGATTTGTGAAAATTTTGCTATTGCATATTTCACGGGACAATATTTTTTTTTACCCCACTTATGAGAAATGGCAACAAAATTTACCGGTTACAAGAGTGCACGGACCGCGAAAAGGATTCAAAAATTTGACAGGAACTTTATTAGCTAGTTACAAAATTTTTGTTACCAGCACAGAATGGACCTGTAAGTGCTTATTTTATTTCACTATATTTTTGTCTTTCAGGTTATATGAACAGAACGCTCAAAATGTCGCACAGTATGCTATGTATTAGAAAATAATTGTATTACCTTATAACATTTTGTACTTCCTTTGCCTCCCAAGCATCATTGCTCGGAGCCAGAATAGTAATTTCACCCAAGTTGCTAATATCGGTTAGCACCTCACCGCCATTATCCATAATTACGTCATAAAATTTGCGTAGAGCACCGTTTTCATTGTCCTGTGGGGAAAAACGTTTATAAAAATTTGTTATGGATCAATACATAGAGACTTTTTTGTTGGGGAATAAAATGCATATTGACAATATATCTACATGTTTATAAATAGGTACATGTTAATATATCTATATATATGTTAGTATGTATATTATAGGCACTAGCAAGCATAGATCCTAGACAACGGATTATATTGGTATAGTTGCATATACATATGTATGTATAAGTATAGTAGATTTAAGGTATTTACATGTATAAACCAATTATTAAAGTTATGAAGTTTGTGAATTTTTTATACAAAATTGTACAGTTATAAATGTTTATGTATGTATGTAAATAGGTACATACTATATATGTACATTTGTTTGAAATTACATAAAATAGACATCTAGGAATATAAAATATATAATAGCAAGATTTGTAGTTAATACTTAAAAAGAAGTTCGATAGTAGTTAATAAAACAAATAAGTAACAAGTACAAATTTGCATAATTTGAAACATATTCAATAAAATTTTTTTTTTTTTTATAAATTTTTAGAAATTAACAGTACTTGATATGAGGCTCTGAGAAGATGATAAATATTCTGAGATGCAAACATATGGGAGATTTTTGTATATTCATGTATTTACTAGTACATAAGTATGTACATACATATATACTCGTTCATGACAGTTAAATATTTATAGGTGCAAGTGATATATGTATATGGATGTAGGTAGCTAAAGTTGACGTGCTGTAGCTTATGAGGATTAGGACTTAATGCTAGGAATTTGGTAATTGTGAGTTTATTATCATTCAAGTTTTTTTTACACTATTGTCTGTAGCATAGAAAGTATTTTTAAGAATATGTTTAATGAAATCTTTTACTTTTTGGTTTTACCTTTGTGTTAAATAATATATTGTTTAAAAATGTTGGAAATTAAGGATGCACTTTACATTTCTTGCTGATTTCTAAACCATTTATCCTTAAACCAGGGGTGCCCACCGTGAAGCTCAGCTGGCTCACGACAATATCACTTGGCTGTTGCCGTTTGGCTCAGTATGTTAAATTTGCTGAGCACCCCTGCCTTAAACCCAGCATCCTTATCTTTAAATTAAGGAGGGCAGTCCAGAGGGAAGGATAAGTGCAATGCAACAATTTTTATTTCGTCGTAGAAGCCTAATGTTTAGGACCCGTGTCTTGTGCGAGCCAATGTTTTCTTCTGTAGTATAAGGAATCTAGGAAATTTTCCAAAATATCAATGTACTTTGTAGATGTCTGCTACAGACTTTGAGCGATCTGCTTCCGTACCCCGAAGTCTATCTAGTATCTAGTGAAAGCATAGTAGGGGTATTCTCAGAGTCTTGCAAAGCCCTTGCACGGTGCACGGATTGAACGGTTTGCAAATCGGTCCCATACGAAAACCCGATTTTTACCTTGTAATATGTGCACCCTGCAAGGGTTTTGCAAACTCAGTACTAGTATGTTTTAGTGTTTTGTACAATGGTGTTGGTGTTATTACGGGTATGCTTTTTAGTTATTATTTTTAGATCACCTTCAGCATATCGGGCGCGAAAAACCTGGTGAGTCTTTTCCTATATATAGTATATATATATGTGTATATTTTTTTTTTCAAAAATTAATTTTTTTTATTTCTTGGCCAACAAATTGGCCATATAATTAATGCATCGCTGAGTCGAAGCTTCATTTAAATTACATAAATACTATAGTAATAAATCTAACAAGGTATGTTTCTTATGACAAAACGTATAGAATGAGTATATTATGTGAATAAGTTTGAGTGTAAGTGGACCCCAAAAACAAGATTAATGGAATTATTTTCATCTCCAAATTTTAGTCTAAATTATTCTAAGTTCCTTCACCAAAACACAAAGAGGTCTCATGACGTTTAGAGTTCTTCACACTCTATCAGCTGTTTGTGTTACTATACTTTCTTGTGGTGGAAAAACTCGCGCCATAGTTTCAGAAGTCTTTGGAAGACATTACTATACATTCCGAACGAACCAAGAATTGCATATAAATACACTACTTATATTATTTTGTTAACGTTTTGGCTTTTGTACCCTGCAACGAAAGCCACTAGTCAACAAGTATGTCCAGTTTATATGTATGTTATGTACGAGTATTTAATGGGTCTAGTCAGGTTTGAGAAGTGGCCAACAGAGGTCGCCAAGCCCTAAATCGTTGATAAAATCTATGGAGTAATACTGAATGATCGAGGCTGAAAATGCGTTAGGTCACTCTGGCTAAATAGTCATCACCACTGAGCAGATACATATATCATATTTATCACGAATATTTTCTCAATACATCACAGGCGAAGGAACAGTCAAAGCAGTGAACTTATCGATGTGAATGTGAACCAAAGAAAGCCGATAAAGAATGGAAAATAACACTAAAGATGACACAACGCCAAAACCGATTTGTGTCCAAATCAAATTTGACAAGCGATGGCGGAAAATCGGGCCACAATTTGTAAGCGATACAAACAAAAAAAAATTAAATTTATTATTATTATTATTATTATTATTATGTTGGGAAAAGGAGACTATGTTTAAAAATAAAAAGCTTTTGTTCAAAAAGTCACTGTCTTATCAAAATTCCCTCGTAGTTATTTAATATTATTTAAAAAAAATGTAGTTGTGCTGTGGATCAAATCGGTAATAAGAAAGTTCGGAAGTCGCAGTTCAAAGTGTGAGGCTACTAAAAGATTTATTTGCGGAGACTGGCATTTAGTGGAAATCCTTTAAGTGACAGCCGTACTTCATATTAAAAAAAGTTTAAATTCAGTTTTTCCTAGTGCTAGTCATATTTTGTATTCAAAGCACTTGATATGGTTTAGAAAGCAGCATCTTGAGTATTTATTTAGTAAAACCAAAAAATATTGCAAATTTAAAATTTAATTTGTGTTCATACATTAGAATTTGTTTTTTATCTATATAACAGTTAATTAAGATAAAGACGCATCACTGGACATTTTGACAAGAAACAATTTTGCACACTTAAATTCAGTACATTCTTTGAATATAAATTTGATTTTTATTAATATTGTTCATTAACTTCAAGCATACGATTTATTTATAGACTTGTTTTAAATTTTTATTATATTTAATTTTTTTTCTTGCAAATCTCGTACATACTTACGTTCATCAACTACGCGATTGCGAATTTGCGAATTGTTGTTGTGGTAATGATTTGGTTTTGATATTGGTTGTGTTTTGGATTTTGTGTCAAACGACAGAGCAAGCAGAGCAGCGACAGAAACATTTAGAGGTTCAAGGTCGTTGCACAAAGTGATCAGCGCCATCAGCGTACGAGTTGCCGACAACGTTAATAAAATTAAATAATCAATTGAAATTCAATTAATTTATTTTTTATTTTTTTTTTTGTTTTTACTTGGGTTCTAAACATTTGCAAATGCCATATTTATGTATGAATGTAGTTGTGGTAGATATGTATGTAGGTCTATAGTATTGCGTGCAATGTATTCGTGTTAAGGCACTTGGGGGGTATCTATCCTAAATGTTTCGTTCAACATTCAAACTTTTTATATGTATGTTGTAGGTCTGTGTGTTGCGTTATTCAACATTTTAAGTTATGCTAAGATGGATGTTTCCTTGGTTGCATGCAAATCGGCAGATGCAGAATGCACATTTTAATTAAGGGAAATTTAAAGTTTCACATTCTTACATGCATACATACGTACGTACATGCATTGAAGTGGTCTCTGACTCGTTGAGATGTAGATCAACCTTAAAAAATCAAGACAAGATCAGCCCTAACCAATCCATTCGGACAGAAAAAAGTAGTAATATTTTTTTTATTATTTCACCGTTTTTCTGTCAAAAACAAGTCCACTTTCCCATGTATTGTAATTAGGTTCTAGTTTTTGTTATCTAATAAAGGGATATTGAACAGCACTTTATTTATGTATGCACTTGTGAGTGAAATATTGGGTAAGTTCAGAAGGCGCAGCTGCTCACTACGCGTTATTGTATACTTTTTGATAAACTCAACAGTTGAGTGTTTGATCATTGTAATATTTTTCTGATCCTTTGATAAAAAATGTTGTATGACATGATTTTTTTGTTTTTGTTTTGTAGATACATAATTAGTGGGAGGAAAACTCAATAAAGAGCAGAAACGGATAGACTGTTTATAATATTTTTAATGAAAAGGTTGCTCCCTCTGAATTTTCAGTAGGCTAGTAAAGAAACTGAGACCTTCGGGTTTTCAATTGATACTAGTATGATTTGTAAAGACTTTTCAAAAATGGCAATGATATAAATAGTTTTTATAACTAACTTCACACGAATATTAAAAAAATATATATATTACTAAATTTTTTTTAATAAAACCACAAAATAAAAAGTGACGATTTTAGACCCATCGGCCGTTGAGGGTTAAGATATATATAAATATATTTTTTTTTAAATTCAGTTATGTACTTGTTTAGCCATAATTAATTTTTGCCAAAAAATCCATCAAATTTCCCATAGTGCATTGGCAAAAATGAAAAGCAAACCCTTAGAAAATAAGATTACGTTAAACTATCTGAACCACTCTACCAGAATTATGTATTCAAATTGAGTGCCTGACTGCTGGTCAAATATCTAAAATTGTCGACATAACTGTAACCGCTGTTGATCACATAATAGGAAAATTGATAATATAATCTTCCGCGCTGTGACTGCTTTTTAAGCAACGCATATTTAATACACTGAGAGAAAAATCAACCGAAAATTGGTTAATACATATTACCAAGCTCAAACTTGAAAAGGAATCAACGTAATTTTTGGTTAATATTAACAATGCCACTGTGGCCGCTGTGGTGTAGTGGTAAGCAGGGCGCGCTTCCACTCCGGAGCACCTGGGTTCAAACCCTGGCCAAAGCAACATCGCAAAAAATATAGAAAAAAAGGTTTTTTCTTAACAGCGGTCGTCCTTCGGCAGGCAATGGCAAACCTCCGAGTGTATTTCAGCCATGAAAAACAGCTTCTCATAAAAATACAATCGCCGTACGGAGTCGGCGTAAAACTGTAGGGCCCTCTGCTTTGTGTGACAACATCAAGGCGCACGTCACAAATCGGAGGAGAAGCTCGGCCAAACACTAACATATGTGTAAGCGCCAATCTATTATTATTATTTTTAACAATGCCTTGGTTGATATTTTCAACAATGATTTGGTAATATTAGCCACAATATTATTCACATTAACCAAACATTTGTTTGGCGATTTTTTCGTTTGAATACGTGTATGTTCTGCACTAAACAGATACCTTTTCATAATTCAGAGATATAAAACAAAAATTGGTATTATCATTTTAGCCTCTGACGGGAAGAAAGTTAGTACATAACAGCAAGCAGCTCTGCCCACTCAGCTACAGCCGCTCTGCAAGTTTATCCGCAAACGTTGAAGTCGAATTAATTTTCTTCGTCGTTTGATTTGGTTCTGCACTTCACAGATGCTGTTTAGTAATCATGAAAAACAAAAAAAAAAAAACAGGAAAAAATATAAAAATGTTGTGTTTGCCGCTGACGGTATTCGTACTCGATTCTGCCTGAAGCAAACAAATAACAGTAAGCTCCTCTACACGTTTAGCTACAGCCAGACATTAAAATTTGTTTTCAAATGTTCAACTTGAATCACATTTCTTACAATCGGTTTACTTAACATGAAAAAAAAACAATAACTTGGCTGAAAAAGTAATTGTACTTTTTGCTCAGTGTATATACACTCACTTCCTGAAGAAATTCTTTATATGCCTTTTCCTGCATTTCAGAACAAAGTCTATACTAAAATTTTAGCTAGCCACGAATGCATTGTTCTGAAGAGATCCTTTACTGTAAATCTAAATTGCCGCTTTTTTCGTTTTATTCGGAATTTCCTATTTTAATTTACAGTGTAGTCCTAAATTGCGATTATCTTTGCATTAAAAATGTTCTTTTGTGTTTATCCGTTTTTTCACCTCCATTGGGCAACAAAAATGTTTTTCTTCCACTGGGTCCTATGAATAAAAACTAAACAATTACTTTTTCCGAAAATTTAATCATTTACATTGTAGTATGTAACGTGATACAAAAAAGAATGTAGTTTCAATAAACAACTTTTGACGGATAATAAAACATTTTGAAGTTTCATAAATTGTGAGTATTATCAACGGCCTTGTCACTTTGACAATATTAAAACCATAAATCGGAGTATTTTCCTTCCCATATTTGTACCAATGTAATAATATTTCACTCGCACTATTTTTATTAAAAATACATGAAGTATAGACTATTAAAGAAGACTTCATCGTAATTATTCTTTTCATTTTATAATAAAAACCACGCGCACATTATACTTTTATTTCTTCGTTTTCTTATTTTGAATGCAATCTTATGATTTAAAAGTCTAATTAAAAAAAATGCTCAAGAGCTTGTGTGAGCAAATCCAATTTTTGGCAAAAAATGTCAAATACGCGGATTTGTAGTACAACGGTACGAGGTTTTGTAGTTTAAACGACGATATGTAGGTATAGTATTATACAATAATTGGAAATCGTACCCAGATAAGCAGCAAAAATGAAAATCTCTGATAAGTTCTTGTATGCTAATCTTTGGAGAAAGGTAGTTTATTGGTAGTTTATTATTGTATGGTTGTCACTTGTCAGAGCTTGTCGTGTCAGTATAAAGAAAACGCTTGTCAGAAAAAACTTGCAAGTAACAGGATTGTTAATATATTTCGTCGTAGGGCCATTCCAGACACTACGTGAGATAACCATTGTTAAGAGAATCTGTTCCAGAAGTTATTAACTGTTGTATTCTAGGGCTTGTGCAGATCCTATTTTGGGAAGAATACTGGTAAGAAGATCTATTAAGCGTCAGAATAGATTATCTGTAGAAAAGATTTTAATCTAAAAACCTGGTTTGGCACTGTCGAGAAAATCTCCGTTACTGAAATCCATCCAGATTAGACGAAATCAATGATTTCTGAGAGAATGGCCCCCGATATCACCTGAATTTTGAAAAAAGTCTTAAGCGTGTTTCGACAAACAAAGGACAAGTAACGGAGTAACTGCCTTCTAAATCGAATATTTATACTTATAATTATATAATTATAACTTTTAACAATTTCAACTTTTCCAAGTACAGCTTTGATCAATAAAAAACTACTTTGGTTTTGTATCAAGGCCGCACTGTAAATGTGGGAGTATTAAGATTTTAAGATCTATGTTGATTTGTAATGTCTATCTCCGGGAAATAATTAAAAATATGTTTTTTTATCACATTTTCTTTGTTTGTAGTGTTAATGTATATCTTATAATCGCTTGTGTTCTGCTTTGTTGGTATATATTCTAACCTATACGTATGTATTTATTCCATGAAGCGATGAACATAATGCAACTTGGCATGCAAAATTGTGTTCCTTGTAGGATTTCTACATTATTTGTCATGCTTCAACGATTTAATTAAACGAAGCTGCAACTCTAACAATTAAGCTAAAAACTTAAGTGTATGAAATTCTGTACACTGTTTTCAGATGCAAAATGGTTTCGAAATTTGTGTTTAAAACTCTCCAATAATTTTGAGCCTTTTGTCTAAAAGATGTCTAATAATTATTATCTAAAAAAGTATTTATTTTATTTCTTGGCACTACTCAATAAGCCTGTAATATGGAAAACTCCTGGGAAGAAAGACCATGCTTTCGTTGGAAAATTTTTTCGGACCACAAACTAGTCATAAAATAAATAAAATTTTAAAAGCTGCCAACTCCACTTTTCAGTCAAAATAACTGATGGAAATTGGCGAAATATTTTTACATTTTTGCACTCACGTTCTTTAAAGCGATTTCCCACGCTAATGGTTGATAGCCTACTCCACTTGACCACAGATGCATAGCTTCCCATAGAATTAGGTGACGGACCCTATGTTTTACCAAAGAACTGTTTACAGACTGCTGCTAAGGGTTTGGATGTATTTTGTATTTATGGAGGCTTCCATAAAAGTTGACTATCTAAGACTGCTACTAAGTACTTTACTACGGAAGAAATTTGAATAGCGGCACTCTTAGAGCAGGGGAAACAAGGCCGTCCGCTTACGTCGCACAGTGTTTCGTCTATATGGAGGCAGGTGGAAAAAATGCATAGTTACATTTGATAAAAAAACCGGTTGGTCTTAAATTTTACATCATTTACTCACATAGCGCAGTAAATGATGCAGTTTACTTCTATTTGCCACGTAGATCATGGATTCACAGTGTAGCCCCTAAATTTCCTTTGGCAACATTCAGCCATCTTGGATTATATTTTTTTAGGTTTTTAGGTGTTCAAGCTTATTTTGCATTTTTTCGTAAAAAATTTTTAAATACAAATATGAAGAGAATTTCATTTCCCGCATTTGTTGTATAGAAGGATTTTTAAAAATAACATTTTTACGAAAAATACATATATGTATATATATATTCAACAGAAATTGTCAAAAATGGCGAATTTGCCAATTTTTTACAATAAAAAATGTTATTTTTAAATTAAATTCTCTCCATATTTGTATTTAGCAATTTTTTACGAAAAATTAAAAATAAACTTGCAAATCGCAAAAAACCCCAAAAAAATATAATCCAAGAGGGCCAAATGAAATTTAGGGGCAAGACTGTGGATCCATGATCTACGTGTCAAATATAAATAAATTGCATCAAAAAATCGCTGTAACAAATTTTTTCAATTTTCCTACCAAATTTATCTAATTTTACTGGGCTACACACCCCTTCTCTACGAACGGTACATTTCCATAGAAATTCTTAAATCGGCGCCATATCGACTAGACAGTTTAGGCGCGTTTGGAGATTCCTAAGGAAGATTACAGCACATGACAAGTTTCAGCGAAATCACTGTGTGTCGCTAAAAAACTTAGTGAAATCTAGTGGTCAGCGGAGGGTGGTGCAACGGGTGCAATGAGACACTGCCTAAAGCAGGCCCTGAACGTTCTACTCGATGTGGTTATGAAACGAAATATAAATATGCACATATCTAGATATGTATCTATGTATGCAGATTGATTAATTTTTTTTTATTAAAAATTTGCATGGTTCTAACTTTGTAGGCGCGTAAAGAAAAAACGAAAAGCTTTTTTTTTTTTTTTGAGTTTTATTATTTGCATGCATTACAAACATATTCAATGCAAGCGCAGTTCAACCTGGTGCATAAATTTTTTTGTATCTTGCTTATGTATTTATGCATGAAGTATTCAATGTACATATGTATGTATGTACTATTATTAGAAACGTTTTTATCTAAAACTTGCAGTATATTAAATAGGTACTCGTATAACATATGTATGTTTGTTTGTTTGTTTGTTTCGTATGCGTGAATGTTTTTGAGTGGCTTTTGCATTTACATACATATGTACATAAATGTTTATTGTTTGAATTATTTACCTTAAAGGACTAAAATGTTTGAATAGTTGAATGAGTTTCCGGCGCGTTGCATATATAACAGAAACAAAAAACGGCACAAATAAAAACCAAAAACAAAACGAAGAACATTCGGCAGAGAAGAGTACAAAGAAAATACAGTAGTCAATATCGTTTTCTGCTCAATCACAACAATCACATCAAACAAATGATGAACTAAATATTTATGTATGTAGAATTTATAAAGTAGTTACATGAAATGGCAATGCTCGATTTGTATTTGTACAAGGCTGATAGAGTTAATGGGATTTTATTATTTTTTTTCATTTCATTTCATTTGTCTGATAACGAAATGGACGTAATGCACAAATTCATAAAAATAATGAAATCATGAATACGCAAAATAGTTTTTTCTTAGCTAAAATAAATAGAAATTCTATAGTTAAAGCACAAAGCATGTTGCCAATTGCAAAGCAAATAAAAACCAGCAGTGCAAAGGAAATTATAGAAATCGAAAGGTAAACTTAAAGTACAAAAGCGGATACAGTGAAAGTTCAATGGATTAAATTACTAGCGAATTAAAGTGAGCAGGAACCTAAACTTCTTTACTGAATAGAACTAATGAATTTTGAAATGAAAAAGAAATCAAAAAAAAAGCGTATAGTAGCTCCTCCAATTTTTTGTTATGTCATTAAATGAATAAATATGCATACGTTTGTAATGTGGACTGTGTAATTTTGATGAATATTACATCCGTATGTAACTGAGAATGTGCATTGCTATATGATCAGTTGGAAGTCATCTGATGATTTCATGAGACAGTTTTATATCTCTTTGTATGTATGTATGAAAGGAATTATGCATGTAAATGTCTTGATGAGAGGTGTACATCTGTACTAGGAATGTTTATCCCGTGATGCCGGGATCCCGGCCTTTTTAGGTCCCAAAAATCCCGGGATTCTTGGCTAATAATCCCGTGATTTTTGGGATTTGTAAATTGCACTGCTGGCAATAATAGAAAGTAATTTTCTTGACCAGTGTTGGCTATTTTTCTTTTTTTTTTATTTAATAATTAAAATTTTTTATGAAGGTCCAGCTCATTACACCGTGCGATAGTAAATTTTACACACAAAAACCAATACTTTCGTGAAACTGCGGGCCAAATATACTAAAATTGCGTCTTTAGTTTTTTTTTCACTCTGACGTCAGTAATTCAAAAATAATTTAAAAATTCAGTGAAATGTGCTTAGAGAAGAATTATGGGTATTAAATTAAAGAAGAAATTTTTTAGAATTTAAAGAGGTTGAATATTTGCTGCATAAGGACGGGTAGTATTGAAAATGTCTTTTTAAAAATTTATTCTTGAAATTTCGCAATATTTGTTTTTGAAAAAATTATATGTTAAGGACTTATATGTATAAACTCGTTAAAATCGTCAAATTTGTTCCTTCTAACTTTATCAGCTTAAATAATTAGCTATTCGTCCTTGTGAATTCAACAGATTTTGATATTTTTTTTTATTCTAAAGAAATTTCCTCTTTCATTTGGTACCCATATTTATATTCTACCCCGGGATCCCGGGATTGTGATAACGGGCTCCCGAAAATCCCGGGATCGTAAAAAGCGAAAAAATTAACAACCCTAATCTGTACGTCAAAGCCATTTCGATTTATTTATTAAAGTGATTTTTATTTAAAGTAATATTTTTGCTATGTATAGGTATATGGATTCTGGAAGTACTCTAGGTTATACATGCATGTATGTATGTATGCATGTGCGCTGTGATTTTTTATACAAAGATGTTTTAAAGTGTTCACAAATAAAATGCTTCGAAGTTATGAAATGCGCGAATAATGGAGAACACGATTCCACTTTTGTCAGTGCAACCCTTCTAACTATACCAAATTTAGAAAAGCACAATTTTGAATATTCTATTGAAATTATCAATTCAAGTCTATAGAATCCAATTAATTTATGATGAGCATCGCATTATAAAGTGGTGGGCGAAAGTGACATTTTGACTATTCAACTAATCGATGACTATGGCCGGTGGGGTGATATTTCGAGTGATTGAATATAAAATTGTTTTTATTCATAACAAAAGTACAACGTTTATTAGTTTGTATACTTACATCGCACCCAAAATTTTTTTAAAATAAAATTTATATTTTAAAAATTATTTTAAAATAAAATTTTGCTTTTGATTTTACATCAAACCGAAAACGAATTAAAAATCGCAAATTTGCTAATTCAAGTTCGAGGTAAAATCAGACTATGGGGTTTTTTTTATTCAAATATTTTTGTTTGGTTTGTTTTCTTGGTTTGAGATTTTTTTTCTGATTTTGATTGTTTCATTTGTTTATGTTATGCTTAGTAAATGATGATGTACATAAATAATAGCAATTGAAAGAGCGAATAATGCAAATTATATAATCGGTAATTTTTAAAACTAGCGTGTATATTTTTAAATAAATCAGTTTTATTTTTGCATGTGCATTTGCTTTGATCGCACGAGAAACCTGTTTAATTAAGTTCAGTGCAACTTGTTTCACAATTTTCGTTTAGGTTCAAGTCAGATCAAAACTACAAACTGTGCACAGGGCTATTGCTATAAAATTTAGTGTTATGAAGGAAATTTATATTTAAGTATATTTATTAAAAGCAAAAAAAAAAACTAAATTTGGATTATGTTGACCGTAATGCTTACAGTCCACTAGCTTACACTGTGATTCCAAAAATGGCTATCATATGTTTATTGACTAATAAATTTTTTAAAAGTCTTCGTTTTAATTAAAGGTTAATCAATGAAGTTAAGGTCACGTATCATTACTTTGTTTTCGCAATTTATACTGCAGTTTTCTAAAGCCAAAATTCAGCGGCGAAAAAATTCCAAGGTCAAGTTACATTTACAATCAAAGTCTCCAAGTCTACTTTTCAAGATATAAAGAATAAAAAAACATTCTTTCCTCACTTACACAACTCTTAATTAATCCTAGTACATAAGCATGTGATACCCTCGGATCTGAAAAACCTATATTTAGTACAGTCGAATTGTGTTGATCTGACGACTTTTTAGAAGGTGGTCAGTTCTTTTGTAAAAGTGTGAGGCTAGTCGCTAGAAATATAAAACTTGATGTGCATGAATCAGGCGAAATACATATTTCGTATCGAAAGCCAGTAAAGACTAACACTCAAGTCTTTTAAAAAATCTAATATATAAAAATCTCGTGTCACGGTGTTTGTGGTCGAACTCCTCCTAAACAGCTGGACCGATCTTTATGAAATTTTTTGTGCATATAAAATAGGTATGAGAATCGGATGTAAAGTATATTTCATATCGCTAGGTGCAGGGGGCGTGGCACCTCCCATACAAACCGAATTTTTCATACTGCATATCTCTGGAAGTGTTCATGGTAGAGTACTCGAACATGGTAAAGAGATATATGAAAACAATCACATATTCATGGAGAAACATTGTGGTTATTGGAAAAGGAGGCGTGCACCTCCCATACAAACCGATTATTTGATACTGCATATCTCTGGAAGTGTTCATGGTAGGGTACTTGAACATAGTATGGATATATACGAAAACAATTGCATACTCATGGAGACAAATTGTAGTTATTGGAAAAGGGGGCATGGCACCTCCCATAAATACCGAATTTTCGATACTGCATATCTCTGGAAGTGTTCATGGTAGAGTACTTGAACATAGTATGGAGATATACGAAAACAATCGCATACTCATTGAGAAAAATTGTGGTTATTGGAAAAGGGGGCGTTTCACCTCCCATAAAAGCCGAAGTTTTCACACTGCATATCTCTGGAAGAGTTCGTGGTAGAGTACTTGAACATGGTATGGAGATATATGAAATCAATCCCATACTCTTTGAGAAAATTGGGGCTGTTTTAAAAGGGGGCGTGGCGCCTTTCTAACGCACTGAAGCTATTACGTATCTTTAAAAAAAATAAGTCAATTTTTAATGCAACCTAAGGTATGTTTCCATGAGCACATTGCGCATTATTCTCAATTTTGCTAAACTTCCGATATGGTTTTTGATTTTGTACAAACTTTAGGTGTTTCACCAAAGAAGGGAATTACAAACCACAGCGCGACAGAAATTGGTACCAGCAACATTAAATTGCGTAATTTGGAGACAGTGGAAATTCAGAAATTCACTTTAGCCCTTTCGATCCGAAAAGCAACCAGCAGAGAAATCTCGGTTTAAGTTTTTTTTTAGCTTTGGGATATGTAAAAAAAATATAAAAATTATAAAAGGATCGCCCCCTCCCTCCACGGTGTCCAAGGAGGTCTGGAACATATGTGTCCCATTCGGAATTTTGGACTTCGGTAAAATAATTGCCAGAAAAATCTCACACTCCATTATCTGGGTTAATATTTTGACCTCTTTTGGTTTTTTTGGCATACATATGTATGTATGTAGTACAAAGTGCTGAAATTGCTTGAAAACACTAAGCAGGACATATTCATCCCAACAAAAATACTTACGGGACACATATCGCACACCGTCTTCAAAAGAGTCGCAACTCAAAATAATACGTTCGTCAGAAAATGCGAAGAACTATTTCTTAGCACAAGCTAAGCTCATATGTTCAAGGGCCACTTTACCTTAGGTGTTTTTAACGAATTATAACAAAAATTTGCTGCAGCTTTTGGTATACCTTGGACTATAATGTGCTGTCAGAACTACGCTGAAGGCGAAATTTGAAACCCATTTTGAAAAGATATCTAAAAAATATTTTTAACCAACGTAAAAGTAGGAGGGAGGCTATCAATTCGCCAATATATTTTTTTATGAAAAGACGTATTTCAAGGGTACTAATTTGGTTTAGATCCCATCGTTGGATCCTGAAGAAATCAACGGTACTCCTAAATTTTTATATGAGAATTAAAATCGGTTATGTTTTTTGCTTACAAATCACTTCTTTAGTGGCAAAAGGCATTGTATTCACTATATGAAAAGGGAATTTCTTTCAAGTGGATTAACTCTCTGCAAGAAAAAAAATCGAACCTTAGTCTCGCAAATCGTTATATATACATTTATAGCGACTAGACCCAGGTTGCATACTACAGAGTGAAAGAAAAGCTGAGTACGAAGACGTGTTTCCTATTGCACTGTTTTTCATCTTCAGCTTCAACTTCGTCTTCATATTCGGCATCGCTTCTACTCTATTTGTGACCCAGGTGTATTAAAAAGGAATTGACCACCATGCAAAAAATCGCCGTATGACTAATTTTCGACCGTAAATTGACAATCTGGGAACTAAAAACGCCAATTTATTTACTTAGTATGTTTTTACGCTTGCATACTATTTATGTATACAGTTTTTTTTTTGTTTTTGTAAAGACCAGTATGCAGCCCTCAAGAAAAGCAAAAACTCCATATAAAATGCCGAACAAGAAATGCGTAAACACTTTTCTTGTGTCAAATTTTTTTGAGGCAGTACGCAGTTCTTAAGAAATTTTCTACGCTTTCTACTACGGTTTTCTAAAGTTTTTGTTTGTAAAAAAGTGCACAAGGCAACCCATGCTTGCAACAGAAATGTATGCCCGTTTCATTATTTCTTGAGGAAAGAGTGAGGCAACAGGCTGGTGAAGTATCAGATCAAGGCGAATTTATATAAGGTGGTGTTGTTTAATCAGATGTGAGTAGCGTTTGATTGTCAAAATTTTATATTTTGTTAGTGAGTGAGTGAAAACGTGAGAGTGTTTGCATTTTCTGTCGCCCTTTTTCATTCGGAGAAGAATAGCTGAAATTTGACAATGACCAGCTAAAAGCAAAAACAAAATACAAGTAATTGTTGTATTTGTTGAATCGATACCACCTTATATGAATTCGCCTTGTATCAGATGCCAAAATTCCTAGGTCACACACACACCGTTTTCTTGAGAGCTGCCTACTGGCCTTAAGGAATTAATTGTGACGGGTAACGTGGCGTATGAGTAACTTACAAAAGTGGCTCTCTAACACTACCAGCTCTATCAAGGCGAATTTATATAAGGTGGTGTTACTAGCTCAGCTGATTTTGTGTATGTGTTTCGCCGCACGGCTTCTGATATCAAATTGAAAAATTTTGTTTGAATTTTTACACACACTCTTACAGATTTTGACAGTTTATGCCGCCAAAGCAAAAACAAAATACATGTAAATTTTTGTTTTTGTACTCCTGCTATCACCTTATATTAATTCGCCTTGAGCTCTATAGTCAAATTTGGGGTGAGTGAACCCTTTGATAATTTTTTGTTTGTTTACGATATTTAATTTTTGAAAATAGTTAATTTTTGACATTAAGAGCGCTGAACTTTGCTTCAAGCTAATATTGTAAGTCAACGGTAGAGTAGAAGATCGCTCTATCTCAACAAATGATTCGAAAACGCGCTATCTCGAGTATGTAGTTTATAGTTAGATAGGGCATTTTTGAACCAAACCCTGAAATATGGCATTTTTCAACCGTTTGCTGAGATAGGACGTTTTCGAACTGGCAGCTGAGATAGGGCGAGCTACCACTCGCGACGGAATTATTCCTAAAAATATGTCTATTTGAATAAGAGCACTTGAAAGTGAAACTATTTGAAAAACCAACTTCTAGTAATGCATTTTAAGCTGTACCTTAATGTATTTGGAAATGCCGTTTAGGCTACTCTGGCTCTCAAGGCCTAATTTTGTTCAAGCATATTATTTAGCTATTTTCAATAGCAATACAAAAAGGACTTAAGATTTCATTACGGTTTTTAATTACTCTTCTATGGGTGAGAGTTTTGAAATCAATTTTCAACTTGAAGATTTTTTGTACGTCAATCTTTGTTATAGTCTAACCTAGCCTAAGTACGAGGATTAGTCTTTAATTTTTGGACAAACTTTATCGCTTACTACGCAAGCAAATAAAAACAACAAAAAACTTGGCTCTAACCTTATACCATTGCAATTAAAAGCATTAATTTTTGAGGCAAAGCAAAAGTGCAGCGAGTAAATAATAAGGCAGACAAAATACGATAAAATACGATAACTTTCAACTAGCGTTTTTCTCGCCTATTTTACTTTTGGAAAACAAGTTGTTAATTTTTAGCAATACTTTGAATGCTTAAATTTTGAAAAACCTTTTGTAGTCAATTATCTATTGTGCCGACAAATAATCTAAGTTATCAAATTTTGTCTGAAATTAGATGTGAAATTAAAAAATACTTTGTATTGTACTAAGCGAAGCGCAGTCACCAGCAGCATTTTAAAGTAAACCAGCCAATTTAAATTTGAAACATTTTACATGTTTACAACTTTAAGTGATAGATACTTGTACAAAATAATATTGCTCATTTATATACATATACATAGTACATATATGCTAATTAAAGCCGCTGTTCACTGCGTTTGCTTGTGCATTTGATTTCGTCCGTTAAAAATATATTAGTAAATTTACTGAATACCAGAGGATACTAATGTTAATGTGAGGCGTGTTATGTCACATGTCAATATGTACCTAGGTATCTACACACACACACACACACACACACACATAGACCGATTGTTGTATTTTAAGCAAATTGTGTTGTAGTTTGTATGTACTAAGAATATTGTTATTGTTTAATCCTTTTCTTTGTTTTATTTGTGTGTAAAGAAAGTATTAATTAAAGGTAATATTCGCGCACACGCACACACGCATTATCTACACCCGCACGCTAAATATGTTATGTGTTTTTGTAATCGAACACCTACCTGTAGGAATTGCGTCACTGTCGAATCGATTATCATTAGTGGCCGATGAATCAGATGCGCTACACCATTTCGCACCGGAATATTGCCCTTAACAATTTCCGCTAGCACAACGCCAGTGGAATGCTTCGAATCACCTAAAATAGTATTTGATTTGACGTACACTAAAAGAAAAGACAAAAATCAGGAAGGCATTAAGCAGGAAATGAAAAAGTCACGATTTTAGATGCCACATACTTTTGCCGTCCTTCTGCTTGAAGAAGCTAACTGTTACTTTGAGATTGTCCTCAAATGCGGCTGTGGTTTGTGGCACTTCGATTTGCGCGGCCGCTGTGAAAATTACATTATTTGGTATGACGTGTCCGTCGATCACTTTGTTGTCCACTAGGCTGCTGCGTGTGGTTTGCTGTGACAATTAATTGACATTTAATTGATTAGCGGTTGAAATTTAATGTGTTTAGCTATTAAATGACACCTCTGTATAAATATATGCGCGTGCTAAGCTTGTGAATGAAATTGTATGTATGCTATATAAAATTACGTATCTAATCGTTATTATAAGTATACATGCGTATGTACATACAATATACAGTCAGCGTCAAAAATATGAATACCCCCGACGTTGTGACAATTTTAATTTTTCTTATTTTTTGTTTATAAAAATATAGTTCATTCAACAGCAAAAACCAGCAGAAGCATTTTTTTTTAAATGTCAAATAGAACTCGAGTTAAATTCAAGAATAGCCAAAATATGTTCATCAAAGTTTTCAACTTTTTAATTCGATATCTTAGTATCGCAGCTTTGTTGCCGATTAAATTTTATTATAAAAAAGGTGGCAGTTTCAGGAGTCTGAAAATTATCATTGATTTTTAGATTTTTTTGTCAAGGGTTTTGCGCATTTTCTTCCATATATCACATAAACAAAATCTATTTTTATATGGATGAAAATGCACAAGACCCTCCACTGGGCTAACTGCGTACCAAAAAAATTTCTAAGAAATCGAATTGAAAAGTTGAAAATTTTTATACAATTTTTTTGGTATTTCTTGAATCTTCTGAACTATATTGTTATAAAAAAGGCAAAATTTGGCATGGAAAGTATAGCTAAATAAAATCGTCAAAACGTCAGGATATTCATATTTTTGACGCTGACTGTATGTATGTGTACGTCACAGAGGTCATTTCAGTCACATTATGGTGCGGGAAATTCTGTTCAGATATAATTACTAAATAATACAATAGCATTTACTCAATTTTATAGCACACCTTCTTAAAAAAAAAGATCTAGATTAACGAATTTTATTACTCACCTTGAAGCCTTCATCAATGGGTATTAGAAACGTGTGTCCGCCGGGCGATTGGTAGAGATTCTCTTTTCGCATTAAAGTCACTTGGGACCGATATGATCTATATTTGAAATTTAATATGAAAATTTAATAAATGCTTTAATACAATTTGGTTAGACAAACCTCAAACGGTTGTCGCCGATGTCCAAGAGGTCAGCCTGTTGCAGAAATTGAAACGCATCCAAATTAGTGAACTCAATTTTGGCAGTTGGCAGTGGAGTAAGCGGCACCAAAACTTCATCGATTATATGCATCACCTGCAAGTTGATTTGTTTCTCATTACTATGGCTTTTATTCTGGTTTAGATAAGCCTGAATAGCCTCAAAAAATTGCTTCTTTACAATATTTATGAATAATTAAACCGCAATCAAATATTTTTCAGCAAATCGAACATTTAAAGTTAATTAAAGTCCTTGAAGGTCTATTAGGTGGCGGGTACATTTTAACAAGTTTTGGCAAGTTTTCTTTTGTTTAGATAATGTTTATTATTTTTTATAGATGTACAGCTCACTATCTAACAAAAACCATGTAAGATAAAATTGTATACTTTGTACAAAATCTATAAAAATTCGAGTAATTTAAAAGAAATGACCAAAAATTCAACCTCTAAAAAGAATTTTTAAGTTTTGGTTGCGTATACTAACAGCCAGTTTCACCAAACTTTTTAAGTGGAAATTAACTTTAATTTAATTTTGTATTTAATTCTCATTTAAATAATTTTCAGTTTCAATAAACTATTTATTTAGGTGAGTAAAAAGTGGTTGTAAAACAGACTAGGACTAGCTTTCGCTTTCATTTGTACTGAGAGCGTTTGAAAGCTTTGGCACGCTGTGTTGTAAAAGCAGGGCTGGTATACAAGTAAGCAGCAATTACACAATGATCAGGTGATTAAACGTGTAACACCTCTGAGTGTGGTTATTCTGATTTAACTTTTATTTAAGTGCAGAGCATAGGTCACTTAAATCAAAATTAAAATTGATTGGTGAAACCGAAAATTCGAAAATTAAAGTTAATTTCCACTTAAATAGTTTGGTGAAACTGGCTGTAAGTTTCATGATCAATTTAAACTGTCAAAGCCTAAAATGACAATACAGCCGCTCTGTTTGGTCTTGGGCAGATAATATTATTTTTATGCAAAAAGTATTTTGCCTTTAAAATCAATTTTTTGAAGAAATAAATTTACGAGAATTTATTTCTTGAAAGTTTCAAACCGATTTCAGAAATTTTTGTATTGTTACTATGTCAAAAGCTGTTTTGCGAGAACGCAAAATTTTTCCAACTAGTCAATTTTATTTTCAATTCAGAAGCCGAGAGAACGTAGACAAACCTTTGCGATATTTCAGATAACGAAACAAAATATTGTGTCGATATCGTATCGCAACTCCTGATATCGATATAAATTAACCGATATGGCGAACAACAATATTGATATACTGAATATCGTATCGGTTTCGCGCATCCCTATCTAAAGGCCTGTATGCAGCTCTCAAGAAAAGCTAAAATTCCATACAAAATGACGTACAAGAAATGGCAAAGAAATTTTCTTAAGTCAAATTTCCTTCAGGCAGTACGCTGTTCTTAAGAAATCTGCTACGCTTTTTACTACGGGTTTCTAAAGTTTTTTGTGAAAAAAGAGCACAAGGCAACCCAGGTTTGCAACAGAAATATATGCCCGTTCTATTATTTCTTGAGGAAAGAGTGAGGCAACAGGCTGTGAAGTATCAAAAATGTCAAAATTCCTTGGACACACACACGAAATAATGGCAAATTTTTCTTGACCGATTTCTTGAGAGCTGCATACCAGCCTTAAAGCTCAATGCATAGTAGTAAAGCAATACAAAAAGTATACGCTTTTCACAATAAAAGGTGCAATCCCGTATTACTCGGACTCGGACTAGTAAAACTGTCAAAAAATAAAAATTCGCTCAGAGCGAGAGAGTAACATTGAAAAGTACGGGATCGCTTTCTAGTAAAAAATGGTAACTTCTGTCAACTTCAACATAACCTCCAAATTTTGGTTGTAAATTTTTGCTTATTTTGAATGTAAACACACTCAGCTCACACATGTAAATAACCAAAAATACATTCAAATTCATTAGAATCCACTTAAACAAGTAATTAAATACTTTTCAACATGAATTAGCAGAGTGCACTTTTCTTTTGTTTACAATTTGGTTGCCAAACACACTACAGCTGATCGTTTGACACATTTACCAGAATTTACCAGCAAAAAATTCTCGGACTAAAACTGGTAACTTCTGACAGAGCGAGAACCGTATTTACTTTCTTTTTTGTCCTCTCAATAGTCAGAGAACCGAGTACGGGATCGATTTCCAGTAAAATCTGACTGATTCTGACTATTTCTGACTACATAGTCCGGACTCGTACGGGATCGCAACTAAAATTTGCTTAAATTTGTGACTGCTCTTTACACCCTATCGTTATGCACTTATTGAAGTAGGAATTTAGAGTTTTTTTGTGCATATTAATTTAAATTTCTATAATATTTATGTATTTATTATATAGTACAATTAAATTTCTCACCTGACGCATTCCCAGACTATTGGTCATTTCGACCGTCAGCGACGGTATTATTCTGGCGTTATTCACATACACATCGCCATTGCGATTTTTCGTTATATACAACGATGGATTACCACCCATATCCGACGGTATGACCTTTATAAGTTGATCCTGCGTCATTGGTGTGGTTGCTGAAATGATTATTTATTCGTTTAGGTAGCAATATCAACAACACCAACAAGACAAACAATTTCAATTAATTTTGTTGATTATTTACGCATTGTTACTCACTTATGTGATAGAGCACATGTGTGGGTCCATGATGACGCTGGAATGCAGCATTTGTAGGCACAAACACTGTACATGGCCGCAGTGTTAAAGTGGAATTTGCAATAATATTTTGCTCTAGTAAACTATAAAACTGCAAAGAAGATGAAAAAGAAGAAAATAAGAGATATCAATTAGTATTCTACAAATGTGGGTTATACGAGCATATACATCAATGTATACAATAATAAGCAAATCTACATACATATGTATAAGTACATATATTGTAAATATGTATATGTATGCAAATAAAGAAGTGAACATATAAATATGTATGAGGAGGCTTTGTTCTATGTTTTGTATTAAGTATAAGTACATAGTATGTATGTATGTACAAGTAAAAATGCTCAAATATATCTTGTATATCGACTGCTGAGTGGAAGACTGACCTATCTCAGCAGTCAGTTCGAAAACACCCTATCTCAAAAAGGAACACCCTATTTCAAAAATTTGGTTAAAGAACGCCCTATTTCAGTATTCGTTTCAAAAACACCCTACACTATCTCAGCTGCTGATTCAAAAAACGCCCTATCTCATCACATTTCCATTACATTTTGAAGTGAGATAGGGCGTCCTTCAACCAAATTCAGAGGTAGGGTGTTCTTAAAAAAATTGCGAAATAGGGCGTTCTTGAAAAGTTTTTTGAGATATGGTCGATCTTCCACTCAGCAGACGATATTGTGTTTTGAAATTTATTCAAATTAATTAGGTAGAAAAAATATTAGAAAACTAAATTTTTTCCAAGTATTTTTAAATTAAATATGAAAAGCAAACAAAAATCAAATTGCTTTGCTTTTATGACCTCTTCGTATTTCTAAATTGAATAGACACTGCTGTTACAAGTTTAAATACGACCCAATAAGCATTTCTGTAAGAGCTTTCAAAATTAACTTTTAGCAAGCCTACTTTAAAAAACAATCAAGAAATGATTATGAAAACGACAAATTTTTTGAAGTCGAAATAAAAAAATGTTACAATCAAAGTTTAATGTTTGCGAAGTTAATGAAAAAGCTTTATATCCAATATAACATAAATGGCTAATAAGCAAGAAACCATCAATCATAAAATAATCCAGGTAGTGTTATTAAGTATATATAAGTATTATTAAGTATAGTGTAGTGTAAACTTAATAAAAAAATAAAAAACATAAAAAATAACCCGATAACTTTGACCTACGTATAACTCTGAAAGAATTATCGATTGCTAGTTTAGGGCTTGTTGGATTTGCGAATATGTAGATACTTTTATACCCTTCCTTATTAAACTCTACCATCATGACCCTTCAGATCTCACACGTCCCACCCGGTTAGAGTTTTTCATTAAATCTTATTACATAGTATAAAACTGATTAACAGCAATCATTAAAGCGTCGACACTTTTTAGTATCCGCGATACTTGCTCAAACAAGTGCTTTAACTAGAAGTTTTTAAAGTAAAGATACAAAAAAGTTCAGTTCATAAATTTACCATTTTAACAAAACAAAGTTCATACTGAAAGGGAGCACATTTTTCACACATTTTTAACCAACTTCAAAATAAGTTAATATTAAATATTATTAAATATTATTTCTTAAGCAATCTTTATATGTACATAATTATGCACTAGGGTTAAACGTGACATTTGATTGGCTAATCTTAGTTTAAACCAGCCAGCTCGAGCGTTTAAACTAAAGACTGGTTTTCACTATGTCATATTTTGACGCCAAAACTTGCCGACATATTTTGACACAACTTTATCTCCTTTATCTATACCTTTACCGATAATATTATGGGCCAAAAACTGACAGATAGCCGATTTAGCAGGGCACGTACCCGACTAAAGACCTATCCTGATCGAAATCAATCGATAGACCGCTTTCTAATCCCACTTGACAATGTGTTTTCACTTATTTGACGACAAATGCCACTGAATTTGACATAGTGAAAACCAGCCTTAAGTTTAAACCATAGTAACGCACTGAAAAGCTGGCCCTTAATGTAAATTGATGTATGGAAATGTCGTTACTCTCTGTTGAAGAAAACGAGTCGACTGATTAGATGGCCAGGCTCCGAGATCCCACAGTTTAGTGATCACGTTAAAAAAAATTTGAGTACATCAAAGCCGTTACGAATGACAAGTGCAACAAGTGGAAAGACTGTAAGATTTCAATACTGTTTTGGCTGCGACTTTGTGAAGCAATTCAGAATACATCCTGAAGTTAATAAATTTGCATTAGGAGTCCTTACCGGACTAGGAATCATTTGACACCTTTTTAGAAAAAAGATTTCCAACTATACTACTAAAATGCGATTTTAAGATGCAATCCATCTCACAAATGACCTGGAATTGACCATAAATATTTTGATAAGCGTTATAAAACTGGTAAAATTTTATTTCTAGTTTCTTTAAGTTTTCGGTTAAAACTTAATTTACCGTACATAACTTAATTTTTTGTCTCACGTCAAAACGATGTACTACGGTATGTACGTACATTAGGGCGGGAATTTTTTATTTTTTTTGAATATGCGTGTATAGCATAGGAGGATTCTACCATGTGTCTGAAATCAATTTGGTGTTTGTCAAATTGCCAAAGTAGATTGTGAAAATTTTTAATGTTGCGCCCTCTGGCGGAAGTTAAAAAAAAGATAAGTGCATAAATGAATTCCTCATACCAAAAGAGCCCTCTTAGCATATGTAGATAATTTAAGCACTTCTTTACGAAACTACAGCAAAATGCCAAGAAGCCTATTTTCGCAATTTGGCAAATTCCAAATTGATTTTAGACCAATGGTCTCTTTGGTAAATCGGCTTAGAATTACCCGTAGAATCTTTCTGTGCTATTACGCTCATAGCCGAAAAGCTCTCCCATACGAATTGACTCGCCCTAACATAATAGTATGTATTATACATATATCAAAATGCTCATGTAAATATGCAAAGGACTGATGCATTGATTATATGTATGTATGACTACATCAAAGTCTTGAACGATGGCTGCCTTTGGTCTGGCTTTGGCGAACGCGCAGGGCGAATCTTGCATACCTACATAGATACATATCGCCACCTGAAATGCAAAAAGACATAACAACATCGTAAATTAAATGAAAAAAGTCGTGACTAATATTTTAATTTTTTTTCCATAAAATGATGTGGGGGGTGTTGTAATTCGATGAAATCCATCATGTATGTATGTAAATCAAAAAGTGAATTTTGAATTTTTTATTAGTTGTGGCCTTTTTGCTTTTCGACGATGATGTTTGTAACGTCTTTTTTCGTTTCAGGTGACGATATGTACATATATTATATACAGTACATATGTATATTTACAAAATGCGTTTAGGTATTAGCAGCAGATATCGAAAAAACAATGAAGGGCCACCACCCTTACATCCTTCGGCGGCACCTTACTCCGCTCTGCCTACATAGTATATGTAGTGTATGTACTACAATCGCCATGACTACAAAGTGCAAAAAACTAAAAGCGCAAAACATACACCGATGAACATCTTCACATAGACTTACATATTTATTTATGTATGTATGTACATATAGCTTGGTAGCTTGCATAAACCGAAAAGGCGCCCCGTTGTTGCCAAAGTTTATTGAACCGACCATTACATCACGCTTACACCAGCTACAATGGCAAAACCAAAGCAAACGCTAGCTATGTAGTATAGGTAGGTACATAGCAATCGCAAAGCTTTCAGCTATACAATATTTACTCTTATTCCAATATTCATACCTATGTAGATATGCATTTATGGTATGTATGTATTTACAAACATTCGTAAAAATACATGTAGATATGTTTGCATACTTTTTGTTGCTTGGCTTTTAGTGAATAATTTCAATTGGATTTGCTGCTGTATTTATGTAAGTACTCATAGCTTCCCAAATTGCGCTCACATTACATAAATTTATTACTGTTTGCTAACTGTCCTCTGCCAAACAATGCATTAAACTGTGTCATTTCATTCATTCAATTATGGCTTATTTGTTTACATACATAGAACATTGTCTGGCAGCAGTTGCTATAGACGCCCAGACACATGCGTTGGTGCAACGTGTGGCAACAGCAACCAAAACTGTAACTGAAACCTTTCGTTTGGCTATAGCTGGACACAATGCTGGCCTGTCTGGGTTGGGCTGGGCTGTTCAGTGCTGTGCCGTGCCGTGGCAGGACAACGACCACAGTGACTAATCATTTGTGCCACTCGATGCAACTGATGCATGCAATTGGCCATCGGTGCTGTTGCCACTTTGTATTGCTAGCCAACTCGCCAGCTGCGCTTGTTGCCTGTCGATGGGCGTTGCACGTTTGGCGCCGCTGCTTGCTGCTTGTCACTACATACACGCATGCAATACGTATAAATATTTGCGGCCAGCACACCTTTGCGCAACCTTTCAGCCCAAACCCACACCCCTTATGCATTGCGTTCTGTTGTGTCCTTCCGTTTGTTGTGCGCTTTCCGTTCGTCGTTGCATCCCTTACTCGCTGCACTTTGCGTGTGTATGCATGTAGGTACATACATAGGTGTGCAGTGGCGTCACACGCTCATGGTAACTGCTACCACGTATTTGTTTTTTTTTTTTGGTAGTCTGTGCTGCCAATTGGCGCAGGATTTCGAAGTAGAAAGTTTGTGTAAAGTAAATATAAAGGAGCAAATTATGGCAACTGCCACCACAACCACTTTGATCTAAGTATTGCCATTGAAACTAAAATAAGAAAACGCGTAGAGGACAAGAAAATTTACTGAATAGAATTTGGTGTCATGGTCTTTGGTCGATGTTTTGTTGTTCGTTGCCTCGGTTAATGTTGTTGATGTTGTTTGGGAAATAATTTGCTTTTTATGCATACTTTTGGCTGACTTTGTCTTCAGGGTATTAACTTCTGCAGTTGTCTGTGTGTGGGTTTATTTACAATATTACTTCAATATACATATGTACTTATGTATATATTTATATGTATGTTTGAGTATATAGTTATTCCTGCGCAGCTTTGTAAACTCGTTTACATGCGCTGACACGTGTGCTCCGTTTGTTGTGACTCATTATCCTTTTTATTCATTTTCTTTCTGTTATTAACTTCGAGTTTGCCATTTTCTTTATCAAACC